ACATTCAGAGGTTTCTTCAAATAGATATGATAATGTAACACAATCTCTGTAGACTACTTCTAGGAAAGTGATGACTAAATTGGAATAATGAGAAACATAGCTCATTAACAAAAATTGTGATCTCTCCAAACCTGTGGCTAAACCAAACAGGACAAAATCCTGTCTCCCTAACTCTATATCAAGTGACATCTATTGATGGCGACAACTGTGATCAAATGCCAATGGGTTTTAACCAACCTATAATTATCACAACTAGCAGTTTTATTCAGTAACGTTTGAGTTGTCAGAAATTTAAAAAGTATCCAAAGCATCAAAAATAGGGGGGAAAAAACGATCAGGTCATCTATGTTTTTTCCATGAAATATATATATATTTATAAATTGTTTTGTCAACTCGCTGCTTAGTAAAAAAAATCTGAAAGAATTCTAAGAACCAACCTGCGAGCAGCCCGGAGCATTGCATATGAAGGACCTATCCTGCTCCAAATTCATCTTCTAGTCTTCATAAATCTGGAAAGACAAACATTTTTTTTTTTTTTTTAGAAATTATGTATTACAGTTTCAATTAATAATGGAGTACAGAGTGACAACACAGAGCATACATACACATATTCTTATGCAGAGATTAAGAAAATTAACACTGCAAAAAAGATAATATAAACAATGTGAACACATTGAATTACAATTTCTAGTCTGTTTTAGCATGCTTATTTCACAAAACAGACATGCTACTTTGAAGTAAAAAAAATAAATAGAAAAGTCTTTTCATTGGTATTTAACTAAAATATACAGTAATGTAACTTTAATAATTTGTGCACAGTAGTTTAACATGTATGCTTTGAAATCCCATCGTTGCACAGCAATCAAACTGAATATTAAAGGGACACTATAGTCACCAGAACTACAGCTTAATGTAGTTGTTCTGGTGAGTATAATCATTCCTTGCAGGCATTTTTATGTAAACACTGTCTTATCAGAGATAAGGCAGTGCTTACATTGCCCCCTAGGAGCACCTCCAGTGGGCACTCCTCATATGGCCACTGGAGGTGCTTCCTGGAGCAGTGTGCATGGAGATACTGAACTTTCCTCATAGAGATGCATCTGTACGAGGAGGTGCTTATTGGCCAAGCTGGCATTTGGCCCGCCTCCTTGTCAATTTCAGACAATCCAATGCTTTCCCTGATGATGCGCTGGCAGATAACTGGGGGATAACTGGGGTTCAGGCAGAAAGAGATAACTGAAGTGGTAAAGAGAGAGAGGTAACTGGGTGGTTGAAAGACACATAAATGTGGAGGGTGATGGGATTGATATAACTGTGTACAGTGTACAATGTAATTGTACACCCCGAGTGATAGACAAGAGGTAATTGCAAAGGGAGTGATGGCAGAGAGATACCTGAGGGAAGTAATGGAAGAGAAATTATTGGATGGATAATAGATCATAGTACTGTTGGTGATTAATGTGTGAGTGGGGTAGTATAGTAGAGCGATAACTGGGGTTGCAGAGATAAGTCGGAGATGGGCTAGGGAGTGGTAATGTAGGTGAAAAAGATAACTTGGGATGGGTGTACCCTTACATTGTACACACGCAGTAACACTAATAGGGATACACATACTGATTATGTGCTCACATCTATACGTCACGATACCACATACATTGCAAGTCCACACACCAGCATACACATATACTGGCACAGCTCGAAACACAGGAGCACCAACACACACTTGTACTGACACTGAACACACATAGGTACACCAAAATACATATATACTGCACACATATATCAAAATCAACACACATCATGACACTGCAAACACCCAGGAACATGGACATATACACACACACAGTAATAATGTGAACATCAAGGCACTTAAAACAACAGTCACAGTCAACAACAGCCAATTCTAAAGGAACACAATAGGGTCAGGAATATAAACATGTATTCCAGACCCTGTAGTGTTATAAACACATTTTAAGTGTTGTTTCATCCCCTTAAATAGTGTTCGAACTGACATTTTTCCAGTTCATCGCTGGTCCGCCTTCTTGGCTGTGATTATGAGAATTGACAATCTCGGCCAATCCAATGCTTTCCCATAGGAAAGCCTTGGGAGGCTATTGCGCATGCCCGGCAATACGGCATGCTGGTCAATCAGCATCTCCTCGTAGAGATGCATTGAGTCAATGCATCTCTATTGGGAAAGTTCAGTGTCTCCATGCAGAGGGTGGAGGTGCTGAACGTCAGTGCAGCAAGTTGTGCAGAACTGACCCAGGAAGCATCTCTAGTAGCCATCTGAGAAGTGGCCAGTGGAAGTGTACCTAGAAAGTAATGTAGTTTACATGAAAATGCCTGCATGGCAGGACATTAAGCTGTAGTTGTTTTGGTGACTACAGTGTCCCTTTAAATACATGTATCTTTTAAAGATAGACTGTTTTGTATCAAAACGTGGCATTTAACATCTATCATATTTCATATCTAATCAATAATAACAGACGGGTGGATACTAGTGGGTGACACTCCTAAGTTTCGCACAGTGCGCCTGAAGGCTTAAGGCCAGCCTTGTTTGTTGTTCCTTCTTAAGAGTATGTTTACTTTGGAAAAAAACAGAGATAAATCTTAAATTCATCAGGCTGTCTCTGCAAGGAAAAAATAGATTGGAAGGAACATATGTGCTGTATTATGATAAGATAGGACTAAATCCTGCTCCAAGAGGTTCTCTGCTTGGCTGTTTTTTCTGTTTTGGACGTTCCATCGAAACCCTTTGAAAAGCACTTGAGAATTCCCTAGCACATAGCACAGTCCCTGCCAATTACAATTTAACTTGATTAGTGCTCAAAAGCCACCAGGAGGCCAGATTTTCCAGGGAACCTCTTACAGGCACCTAACCAAGTTAAGAAAGATTAAAGGCAAAATCCAGCTTACATAAAAATTCAATTAAACTCTATTCTATACCATGCAGCGATATACATGTCTACATTTATATGTTTCAAACAAAGAAAAAAAAATGAACATTTTAGATGTTATGTTTTATTTCATTTTGTTATTTACAGGAGATTTTGGGGGGTTAATTTTAAAACAATGTGTGACATCTGTAACATGGGATGCTAGCACAAAAAATTTAGGAAAAACAGAAATATTCTGGTCGTTTTACTAGGGACTAACTTTATAAAATTTGGCTTTGCAGCATAGTTATGCCATTAAGTCTATTTTCTAACTTAAGTAATTTTGTTGCCAAATAGTGAAAGGTTTGTAACCCAGAGCAAAATCACTCCATCAGAAACAAGAGAAACCACAACATCATTAGTTATTTTCTATACAAGCGTCAAAGTTTCACAGGAGTAAAATGAGCTTTTTTTTGGCACAAATGTCCCATCTACTGAGACCAGGCATACAATCTCACTAGGAAAGTGGCACCAGTACCATTAACCCTTTCAGTGTTGCAACAGACAGCTAATCTGTCTAAGAAAAGTCAAGCTCAAAATTCAGCCACCGGAAATGTCATGGATATTTGCATTGACTTTCAGAGCCTAACTAATCATCAGCTAAGGCGATCTCAGCACTAGTTCATAAATCAATCAGCTTGTGTACAGACTACCATTCAGGGATACCTAAAAAAAAATGTAATACAATTTGGCAGAATAGGCACCTGCCTACAGATGCATGACTGTTAGGGGCACCACAGATGCCTACTTTGCTTGTTACTTTGAATACTTTGCCAACAGTGCTTTGCCGTCAATAAAGGATGTAGGCGGGCAGGCCATCAAGAGGGTGTCACAGTGACAAATCTTGCTTCACTGGCAACACCCAGAATGGGCAGGTTTGCCCGTGAAGCCACTCTGGTGTCAAGCACTTCAGGCTGACAAAGAGTCTCTAGGACGGGTCACAATTTACAGGGCAATGCAGATAGCTCTCTGCATGGTCCTAGAGCCGCCACACATCACAATTATCTAACATCATCTAATGATGCAATGTGCTGTCCAGGGACAGTTCCGTTGTATCCCCATATGTGTGACACCAGGGATAGTTCCTTGGTGACCCTGGATGTGAGATATCAGGGAACTAAATCAGGACAGTGGGACAGGACTCCAAAGCAGAGGTTTTTGGACAGTCGGGAGCCCTGCCCCACCATTACATAAACTACTACCCACACTGTTATAAATATATATACATACACACACACAGACAAATGCACACACAGAGACACAGACTGACACCACTAGACATATACAAGCACACACACAGAAATTCACTTACACAGACACACAATCTATGTGTGTGTATGTGTGTATACTTTTTTTTAAATCAATTTTAAACAATCAAGTTGTTTGTTTTAATATTGAAGATCATTATTATTAATTATCATTATCAGTGTTTGGATGAAGGGTTTAAAATTAGCTTTACTGCCAATCTGTCACCAAAAATACGCTTCATCTAGTCTGCTTCTATATAGTGTATGAATCTCTATGGTTTTTTTTTCTTAGAACTCTTGTTTCCATACAACACACAAGGAAAAGTAAGGACTACTTTTCCTTATGTATAGGAGCCAAGTTTTACAAAAGTTAAAAATGGGTGGAGCTTAAAGCAAGGGTTGTTTCAAATTTATCCATAATCCATCATTAAAATCATCCCATAAAGGGGGCGGGGCCTGACTGCAGAGCCGCGAGGACGCAAGCCTCAGTGGCTCCTGCCGATTGCCAGAGCAAAGACGGAGTTTAGCCCACAAAACTGCAAATTCTTCCTACAGAAAGGCAACCAAGCTCTTGACGACACTGAGCTGAACAGGATGATACTATCCAAGTGACACTCCGAGCTGTGGCCACTCGCATCTACTCTGCGGCCTACAAGCATGGCTGGCCGTCTCCCCCGCGACCACATCCAACCGAGAACCTGAGACTGGGCCCGCGTTCCCAACCCCTTTGGACCGGCGGGGGTTATCCCGGTCCCGACGCATATGGAGTCACACTCGGAGAGCCTGCACTCGGCCCCAACCTGGCGGAACCAAGATGGACGCTCGGCGAGCTAGCAGCCCTCGACACTGTGCTGCCAGCGCCCGGGAGGGCTCGGACCCCTCACCAAGAAGAACGACACAGACCTCAACCCACAGTCCAGCACGGGAAGAAAAGAGGTGGGCAAATCACAGGGGACTGTACTCACACCACCCGAGGTGCCTCCAGAAGAATGGGGGTTGGCGACGAAGCCCCTTCAGCCCTCTCACCGAGCAGCGGAGCTGGGATTTTGTTAAGCAGGGACTGTGGTATCGGCTGAAGCCATTGATATGGACACTGAACACAACTGCTGCCCGAATGACTGTAAGGCTAGCTCCACAGGAGGGTAATATCTATGTTTAGCAAAACCCCTCCTGATGTTGTTGCCTCTATTAGTTATAAAACTTTTTAGTTCAGTCACCACTGTCATCTAGCAAGTGTTAACCTAGTTTAAGCAAAAGACCCAATTAAATACCTGCCATAGCTCTAATCACTTGATGGTTCGTACCCTCGCTGCCACCTACAGTTCTAGGATCCAGCTATAGTAACCCTATATATGTTTCACTCTACTAGAATTGTATTTATGAAGCCTGTAATACAAGAATCAATTAATGCACAGTGTAACAAAATGCCTGAAATGCCTTGAAATTCCATATACATGCAAACACTAGTAGTTTAACCTGCATTGTTATCTCATGTAATATATAAAAAGAGGATGTTCCATGCTGGTGTTTAAATACCTTGTATACCATTTGTTAATATGCTCTAACTCCCTGTTTATTTACCTAATATTGAATACCTGCATTGCACAAGTTGATACTAAACCACCACACACACTAACCAAGCCTGCGTACAAAGCAACTTACACTAAAGTCGATGTTCTAACGTTAGCAATGTTATGTTTATATTAGGACAATACCTAAGCAACATAAATCCATACTGTTTATAGCCTAAACAAAAAAAAAATGTGCTTGTTCTATCATGTACCTCTATGTTTAACTGTTTTCATGCGCTAGAGGATTGCCTTTGGGGTACCTCACATGCGAATGTTATAAACTTACGCACGACAAAAATAAAGAATTAAAAAAAATAAAATAAAAAAAATCATCCCATAAATAGCAGACATAATGGGCAAAGGAGAACAAAATGGCTGCGCCCAGGCATTGAGATCTAGCACAGGGAAGAAAAGTTACTAAATATTAATAAAGGCTGGTGGCAAGAGAGGGTGTATAATCATTAAAACACATGAAGCATAAAGAATAGAAAACAAAAGAAAAAAAAGTGAAAGAGTCGCTTTAAAGCAAACTCACCTAAAGTAAGTAAGGCATACATATGAATAGTCCTGATGAAAGTCGGTGGTTAACAGACTGAAACGTTGATTTTTTTTCACAAGTTAATTAAAAGTTAAGTTTTATTTGGGATTGCATAGTCCTGAGAGTGCTTTCTTTACATATGGTGAATATGGTGTATGTCGTGTCAACAGCCATTTTTTAATGTATAGTAAAATTTGTACATACGTAGCAGTTGCTATTGTTTTATGTACCAATCTTGCACTTGTTGTAGATATTGTTTTTATGTAAAATCATTAAAAAACACGTTGTTTAAAGGATCAATGATAACTAGCAAACATGCTTAAGACTTTGATAATTCTATCCGTTGTGAGTCTTAGAGATAGATATTAAATGTAATGTGATGGAATATTTAACTTTCCTTGATGGACCGTGGCCGAAAAGCATTCATTCACTTTTTTGACAGGTTTTTATCAAGATTTGCAACTGTGAAAGGGTATAAATACTTCAAGGGCTAGAATAGGAAAGTAGACAGGAAGAGAACTGGAAAACAGGGGATATGTTCTCTTCAAATATCAGCTATTCACGCGAATCAGATGAGACCTAAGATTCTTGTGGTCTATTGGATTAAATTCAAAAACAACAGATGGCAGTATCAAAATTTATAGAGCAAGGAGAGAAAGGAGATCGCAGTCAAAGGCTAAGGTCAGGGCAGGTAGCAAGCAAAGCAGATAGGCAGAGTGTCAGAGTACAAAACAAAAGCAATCCAGTAATAAGACATGGACAAATCAGATCATAAATATACGTTCCAATAAAATACAGATGAGTGTAGTAAGAACTGTGGCAGCAATATACAGTATATAACAGCATATACCCTGGGGTTGTAAAGCACACACGAATAACTGGAAAGAACTTTTTTAAATGCAACAAGATGAACCGCAAGTACATACAAATGTACGCCTTTAACACACGGGCTAGTTGCCCAATTGTAGCTCAAATGTCATTAGTTGCTTTCTATAGTTCATGAGATCTGATTTACATTTTTATTTTTATATTTCGCTTTGCCTCTATATTTACAGTACATAGAGAATTAAATGAATTCAATTAATTATGAAATAAAATCCAGTATTGGTTAAAATGGTCCAGCAATGTTTCTAGTCTAATGAGTATGGCCTTTTAACCCCTTTGTAGCAATGGTTTAGAGAAAGCTTTACATTGTGACTGCTCTGGCAAGCCATCTGTTATAAAGGAGTTAATTTATTAGAGTATAGGCCTATAAAAGGCATTTTATATGACACTGACTAATCAACTTTTGTAACTGTGCTTTTATAACATTTATGCTCATCTCTAAAAGCCCCCACCCACAATATATCACCAGATCTTTTTCAGCTCTCCCAACAGCCCTCACTGAATATTTAAATCTGATAATACCCCTATGTTGTTCTCTACCAGGCTATTAATTAATTTATTATCTCCAACTACCCATCTTCTCTAGCTACATAAATACCCTGCTTTATTCAAATTACCTTTTTTTACCTGATCCTATTCTTCAAACATTTTCTTTTAAGATGTATTTAAAGTATGGCTCCATAATAAAAATAATAAGTAAATAAATAAATAAAATTATCAGAGCCCCCTCCTCACACATCTGGTTTTACCAGACCTTTTTGGTAGTCTATCTGCTATAGAAACAGAGTTTTGTGCATCAGCAAGCACAAACTGCTATAGTAATCTTTGTTACAGTCCATGTGATGTCATAATCCTGTGCTTGGCTTAGCTAAACTTCAAACAAGACAGCAAAGCAAAGCACCAGGTCTATACCAGAATAAGCATTGACACAGAATATATAGAAAAGCAATGGTCTGCCACGCAAGTGCCTATATTTAGGAAGGACAGTCCTTGTCCTTTGCTCATATCCCTCTGTCTCTCTTTTCTATCATAATGATGCTCTTTTCTAGGAGCTATTGGTGTGTCTGACTGTGTTCCACAGCAATAACGTTCACAGTAATGTGTCTTTAAAGTACAATACATGTGTTTAGAAACCAGTCTATTTAAGTAAGATGTATTGGTCTTGCTCTAAACAACATTTTAGTTGCATGAATTGTTATTAGTAGATCATCTAACATTTCTCAGAACAGCCCCACCCTTGGCTTAATGCTATGAATGTTAGGGACAGTTCCCTGGTATCCCCAAAAGCGGGACACCAGGGTACTAAGGCAGGACGGTGGTAAAAGAAATTTGGGACTGTCCCACCAAAATCGGGACAGTTGGGAGGCATGTGATAATCACATTTACTAAACATGGAAGGTTAAATTGACTGTTCCAGAAATCAAACTTGTTGCTTGAACGTATTAGAAATAGTGCAAATGGGGCACTAACCCCTCACCTATCTAATAGACTATTATGTTCATTAGATATAACAGTGTGCATTGCATTTGAAGATATATAGCTTAGGCATGATAGGTGATTGAAAGGTAGCTATAATTTACAACACTGTAGGGTATTTGGTGTTTTCCAATATTTTAACAATAAGACAGGCAGTTATTACACCTTGTTAAGGTACTAGTTTGAGGTAGCTTGTTCTTTTTGTGCCAACGAAGCCCACACCTCTTCATGCTTTGAGATTATACTAGACAGCCTATGAGTCATAGCTTCATATAGCTCAACAATGTTGTTGTTTCCACTAGCATGGCAATAGAGGGCGAAGTCACCAATTTCCACTGGTGTGCTATAAACAATTTTGCTGTCACCATCACATGCATAGACATTTTCCATTGGGGACCGTGGAGTGTCAGGAGCATATCTATCAAGAATGTTTCTGGATCAAGCGCAAGAGTAACTATTTAACCCCTTAAGGACAGATGACATGTGTGACATGTCATGATTCCCTTTTATTCCAGAAGTTTGGTCCTTGAGGGGTTAATTAGGAACTGAATCTGTTGCCAGAATGATTGGAGCAGTGCCAATGGATATGGGAAAAGGATCTGATGTCCCCACTGCACCGCCAGAAGTTCAGGGAGGAGGCAGGGAATATACGTGCCAACCTTTGTGGTACCAAATACCAACAAAGCAAAAGTTTCCTATGATTCTTCCACTGGTTGATACTGTGAGATACCCCACACATTTGACACCGCTGCGGGATACCCCACACATTTGACACCACCCTAATTCACTGATTCTGTGAGAAAACCTTTCCAAGCTCCTGCTCCCATTTGAGCATCTAAGGAAGTTTTTCTGGTGTATGAGCAAGCGCAAGGAGGAATGCATAATGGTCTACATTTGCTTCCAATGCCCATGCACAGTTTACAGTTCGGAGACCGCCGGGAGGAGATCTTTACCAGGTTCGCATCTGTAGTTAAGATATATTTTATTCTAATAAAGGTAAATAGTTCCTTGTGTGGGATTGGAAATTCTCTCTGTAGATCTATAAATAGTTTAACCTGAGAGACAGATAATAGTTGGTGGACATGTGTAATGCCTGCCTTAGTCCAGGTTAGGGATTATGTAGATTACTATGGCAATTATATAGAATTTATTCGAAGCCCTGGTAATGGCCAGAGCCTAAGTAAAGTTAAATTTCAATTGCTCAGCTAATTTACCCACAATCCATCAGTACAATAAATCCCACAGAAGGGCAAACAATTCACATCATGGACTGGAGAACAAAATTGTGGTATACGGATATTGAAATTTAGTGCAAGCAATAAAGTTTAAGGGTGTAACCATTAAGACACAAAGGGGAATAGGGAAAAGAAATCTGAAATTAAAAAAAAAAAATGACAGTGTTACTTTAAGGCTCTAAAACTTCATTCCCACTAGTGAGTTAATCTCATAGTTCCAGCAGTTGAATAATCTTTATATAGTCTTGACATTTTTCATGTGTAGATGCCTGAGCAGTGATGTAATGTTGTTGCATCACAGACCTATTTGCAAACCTTTTCTCTACGCTGAATCACATTAGGCTGTGACAAGTTAGAAATGAAAGTGAGCTTGGATTTTATGGCTGCGATAACTGCGCTGGAATATCAGACAATGTTGCTGTCATTTCCTTTTCTACTCTGCAATCCACACACA